ATTTAATACGAAATTGTGGAAACATTGAAAAAGGTTGTGAAGTTGTACACATCTTATGTGGAAGCTTGTGACTAATGGAATGTATCAAGGCAATTGTGAATTTGTGAACCAATGTGGCTTAGAGCCATTTGTGAACCAATGTGGCTACTAGCCTAATGTGAAACTACGTGACCAAGGGTCATTTGTGAATTGTGAACCAATGTGGCCAAGGGCCGTTTGTGAATGATGAATTTATGAGGTCAAGGACCGATGTGTGAAATACAAACTTATACTATTGTAAGCTTGTGAAACAAAAAGAACCAAAGGTCTATGTGATGAATTGTAAATTATGAACCCAAGGACTCTTTTCTGAATATATGAAGTTCTTAGGCCAGGGGCCACATTATGACAATTATAAACCGATTATGTTGTCCCAACAAGCCGTACTGAGACAGACTAATTACATGATTTCAGCATTAAATATGTTTACAAGCATACTAGTACTATTGTTCACTGAGCTTGGCTCACCCTATGTTATGTCTGTTTCTGTAGATAATCAACCAGGAGGTCGTTCTTAGCTCGGCATCGTCATACTTTTGTCAGCCTAGGCACAGCCAAGCTTGGGGTCGGACCCTACTTTTGTGGAGTTGTTAGATGATGACTCACACTTTTGCTATTGGCTTAAGTTGTTATGTACTTAATGATTTTGTTATATACCCCACCTCGGGATTGGTTTTGTATATGCCTGTAAATAACTAACTCTTAAATGTATTTTGGCTTTTGGTGTACTTGTCCTGTGAAATGTTTTTGATCCTGGCATGACTTAGTAACTCAATGGATGTCACATTTTCTGGTTTTTCTCAACTATGTTTTATAGCTTCCGGGCAGGCCCCTCTATGGAACCAGGTTAAGTGTCCTTTTCTGTTTAGGTCATGCCCAAACTTTTAGGGGCAAGTTAGGGGCGTGACAGTTAGTTTGGTCACCGAGCTAGCTACACTCTAGCAGTCTGAATAGCCAGATCAAGTCAACATGCATTCTACTAATTGTAGACTTATTCACTTCAAGAAATCTATAAATGTGGGACACGATCTCATGTAAAGTGAAATAGTAAAGTGTGAGACGGATCTTTCAACTAACAAAACTGTTAGAAATTAAGTCTATATAAGCAAGACAAACTAACCCAACAAAGTACACAACTTACACTCACATGCTTTTTGATAATTATCCCAAATTTGACTTGGGTATCTAAGAGTCTCCAGACTAACCACCAGTTAAAACTCTTCTTGTGAATGTCTTTCACGTTACCAATACTTTGTGTGTAGGTGATCTGAAGTTTTTCCCTATACAATTAGTAATAACATTGAAACCACATATAAGGTCATGTTTGATTCACAAGATTAATAGTGAAGTATTAATAATTCTATTAAATTAATGTGATATTCACTATCGAATTGGATTAATATCCATTGGATTAATAATCCCACCTCTACCCCATTACTAATAATCCTACAAATTTGTTGGATTAATTATCCATTAGATTAACAATCTTAAACCAAAATGTTAAAATAAACATAGGATAATTGGGCCCACAGATTAATAATCTCAATCCCATGCTCTAATCTACCCAATCAAACATGCCCTAAATGTCATTATTATCAAAGTAAGTGTATCACATGATCACATTCACATCTCATGGTGGATAAACTTCCAAATAAGAAAAAGAAAAGAGAATTAAAATAATGCATGAGAAATCTCTATGTAGAGAGAAGACAATAATAATGTAAAAGAACACGGTAGTGGAAAAGGAAAGTGTTGAGAAAAGCATAGAGCGGGGTCCTTTGCAAAACCTCTACTTTGCAATCCCTCCCTACAGCAAGTCAATAATGGCATGTGAATATGTTGGTTTGTTTTTCACCGAAATATAGTTTATTTTTCAATAAATTACACCCACATCTCCTAAGATTACTAAGATTACTAACAATTACAGAAATCATTTTTTTTCCTCTTGTCAAAAAAAAATAAAATAATAATAACCACATATGTACAGCTCCAGGCTGATAGTAAAAGAGAAATTACAGAAAAGAAATTACAATTCAAAAAAACTAAAAACCTAAGATGGAAACTCCAGGCTGATAATAAAAAGGAAATTACAATTCAACCAAAAGTAATTAGACAAATATAGGGTGTACACACTCCCTGTGTTAAAAAATCATAGAAAGTGTTGCACTCCTCACCTCCTTATAATTACTTTTGATTTTTTACACTGATTTGTAATTTTTACCATAAAAAAAGGTTAGTGCTTGTCGGATTGGAATATCTTTTCCCGACAATTTCTTGACGGCAATTGAAGACTTTCTTCGAAATTATGGAGGGTTGTTCCAAATTTTGCTTTTAAAAACATTCGCCACCTATTACTACTCTTTTTTGTCACATTTATTCTCATAATTATTCACTAGTTTTGGAGTAGTATGTAACACTATTTATATAGTGCTCTAAATCAATTATATAATTTTTTTGTGAAAAAAATAAAAAAATATATATATTTTTTTCTAAAACATAAAAGGATGTGATGAAATGTGGGCGTATAAAGGAATAGTGCCTAAGTTGTATGAAATTTCATATTTTTTTGGTACCAAGAAGCAAGAATTGGATCCCAATAATAGCGAGTTACAAAACACAAGAAAATAATGAGAGAATAGATGAAGGTATGATGGCTACCAACACCAACACTTAGCCTTGGGAATAAACTATTTTAGTTAAAATGTGACATTTTATCTTATTAGTTATTTTAACTTATTTTGTTTTTATCGACTATTTTAACCTAAACAAAACTTTCCAAACAAGGTCGTCAATGAGTGCTTTTTTAAAATATATTTGTTAAATTATCACAATGATTAAATTATTAGAGAAATTATGGCAGAACGCTTTTCACATGAATTTTTTTTTTTTTTTTAACTTAAGAAAAAAACTTGATTGATAGCAAAGATGGATGAATGTATCAATCAATGGTTCTACCATTACAATTACAACATTGATAATAAAGTCGCATGTTTAACATGCAATTTTGCATTGATGTAAATTCAAAGTCCAAAATCACATATCCAGTTTATGAAACCCTTTGTCTTGTGATCTTCTTCACCAGAGTCGGCAATGAGTATGTTTGATCAACTATGTTCCCTCTCAATCTCCACTTCTATCTGCCTGGATCTCCATTATATCTCTAGATCACCCCTACACCATCGTTGGCAATCTCCACAAATGAGGAAGAAATCGATGCCATTCACCTCCACTCTCGACTCTCACAATCTCTCTATATATGTGCCTCAAATCTGCAATTACAATCCAGTATGATTAAATACAATTAAAAAAGAAGGGATAGTAATCGAAGGAAGGGTAATTTAAGAATAAAAGTAAGGTTTCACGACTCCAAATCTAGCATTTGCTTTATATATAGTATAAATATATAACTGTCAGATAATAACTACTACATATTTTATCCGGTCATGCGACAATACACACCCCTTTTTGGGGTGTTTTTTGTATGCTAGTTATTGATATCACAAATGTCATAACTAAATAACTTTCAGTCATAACTAAAAAGATACAATGAGTCATAATCAGACATTATTTAAAGACGACCAAAGATCTTTTGTTATAACTAAAATAATAATCACTTAGGTCATAACCAAGTAATAACTTGAGACATAACTACAGACCTCTTCGATCATAATCAAAATAAAAAGTCATTACCAAATCATAACTAATATATTAAAAAGTCATAAACATGTCATAACTACCAACACAATGAATCAAAACCAAAGATTACAGAAGTTATAATTGGGCCTATGGTACACAACCCAAAAATAAGTGTGCATTATAGAATTTTTCTTATATGATCATCACTTAATACATCCAGGATTAAGTAAACTATTGATTGGGAAGTTTGGCTTTCTGGTTAAAAAAGCTAAAAAACTAGTAAAACAAAAGATGCAACTAAAAAGTCAAAAAAATAATTCCTCAGTTGGGAAGTTGTGATTTAGCCTAAAAAGTGAAAAGTCACTAAAAAAAAGTCAACAAATACCAAAAGGTCAATCAAACAGTCACTAAAAAAAGTATGTTCTCAAAAATCAAGAAGTTACTAAAAAAAAGTAAGTCATACATAAGGAATTTATGTTTTTTCATACAACTAAAAAAGTCATTTTCAAATCAATAAGACTAAGGAAAAAATTATTGGGCGTAGATAGGATACCATGTTGCATGCTACGTGGTGCCTTTAACCAATCACAAATACCATGGCCTCCCGTGTTGTCTTCCCATCGCCCAACGCATAAATGTAGCCCCCACTCTCTCAACCAATGAGAAAACAGAAAGGTACTACATGACACCTACCCTATTTGCACTCAAAAATTTCTCAAACTAAGGAGCCTCCCCAATTTACCCAAAAATTTACCAACTGCCCACATGGCATGTCACTATGGAGGTTGTTTTTATTTAAAAGGAAAATATATATATATATATATACACACAATAAAATTACCTTAACATAATTGTATAATTACCAAATCGTAATCTGTTCAAATCATGTCTCACAATTAATAATATACAAACAATCAATGATAGACATAAATTAAAATCATTAATTTTATTTAATGAAAAATCATGATGTTCTCTAACCAGTGCTTTGATACCACATGTAAATAATTTTATGGTGTTATGCATATAACAACCTTCATAATCCAAAATTGTGAACGATCATGATTTTTACAAATAATAACATTATGCGGAAAATAAATAACATACATGGATCAGTTATGCGAAATTTTCGAATGATCCAAAATTGATTGAACATAAACTTAATATCAATATTAGCAGAAAAATGTTTCCCTCTCTAAACCCTCTTTGGAATACGTTATATTCAGAATAATTGATGAGGGATCTAAATATACTTTTATAGGTAAAAAGAGAATCAGTTTCTTTATTCAAATAAATGTGACAACCTCTAGGTTGCCTATACAATTTACAGTAGTAGCAGTAGCGCAACCAAGAGACAGAGAGAGAAGAGGAAAGGAGAAAAAAAGATTGGGGTTTTATTTTGGTGGCTTCATTAATTGTTCAAATGATTTTTTGATCTTCAAAAAAATATTGTGAATGCAAAACCCACATTCCTTGACTTATGTTTATTTCGTTGTTTTATTTATTTATTTGATGTTGGTTTGATATTGTGCTTGTATATAGATGATAGATTGATTTCAATTATTTTGGTTAGTTGTGTATGTAAGGTTTAGGGCTTTTATACATATTTATTTTATGGATGTAATCACACTCATGGATATGTGAAATTAAAAAAACCTAGAAACCCATAAATAAATCCCTTATACTCTACCATGACTCTATGAATTATTATTTTATTTGAGCATTGGTGAGAAAAATTGTATAAAAAAAAGTGAGAATTATGAGATTTATTTGAATGCCTTAGCTCGACATTGTTACGTTTGTTCTCATGAGTAGATGAGGTGTTGTGTATGTTTATATATTATTGCCTCGTTCTCAGGAGTAGACGAGTGCTTTGATTTACGCGCGTACGTATATGCTAACCATTCGGGCAATGTGGGTCAAACTCGGGACGATATCCCCATGCAAGTTTGGCTTCAAAGCAGTGTTAGGTATACGGGAGGCACATGGGATATATGTGTAGACTAGAAGTGAAAGGTCAAAATGGTGAAGTTAAGATACAAAGAATTAAATATGAACTAATTGATATAGTTTGAATTGCTTTGATTGGTACATCTCGAAAAATAGAAAACGACCTCGTTAAATTACAAAATTTGGGCAGAGGCATGTATACGCAATTCTAGACAACTTTTGTATTTTACCTTTTTACTAAAAAGATCGATTAGAATTTATAATTGGATGATCTTGGTTATAATAGTTTTTATTCATTTTAGCAATGCAGATTTTAGATATTGTTTTAACCCACGAAACGAGCTCATTTCTATTAATTTCGCGTAACTAAAGTAAAACATTATTCTGAACACTTTTCGTGTTTTGAACTATTCCGAAAAAAATCATCTTAGGACAGCTTTTTTCGTTTGCAGCTTTAGATTTTTCGTTTGAATTCTATCTATGTTCTTCTATTAAGTTTTGCTCTCAACCTGTTCAGTTTCTACTAAATTCGTTCGCAATACTTTTAGGAAATTTGATTATGTACAACTTTTATTCTTTGAATTTTGGTCAATTCAAATGATTTAAATATGAAACGATGCGTTTTTATATTTCTTCGACAATTTACTTATAATTAAATTACACTAACTTTATTTTTGCAGAATGGTAGGTCTTACTAATTTTTATGTAGGGCTGACCCACTATATTTTTATTTTTATTTTGTTTATTTTTTGTATACTCAATTTATATTTAGTTGTGTACATGCAAGAAACTAGATGCCACCGTATCTCGGGAAACTACCCATTTGTCTTAATGCGGGTGAAACTACTTGTCTTATTTCGTAAAAAGAATTAAATGTACTTTTATTTGTGTCTGGTAGACACGTGGGTTTCACATCTTGTACTCACACCAGTATACTTGTATACTAATCCGTCTTGTCTCTTGGCATCTCGGGTGCGTTGTGTTTGAACACAGCCGAGCTTCCTTCGCAGGATTAGTTGGAACTATGATGGTGACGAGAAATAACTGCCATTGTAGGACACATTTTTTGGACTTCTTTTGTTTTCTGGAGTTTAGAATTGATATTAGTTTATTTATTTATTTATGTTTTTATTTTTATAACTTTAGTATTTTGATAGTTTGGCATTGTGGGTTTTTTTTTTTATTTATTTTTATTTTTTTTATTTTAACTTTACATTATTTAAGTTAATTTGACTATTTGTTGCTACTTTAATGTTGAAAGTATTGGATAGTCATGAATTTATGATGGATAATTTGGTTGGCGTTTGTTACTTTTTTTTTTATTTTTTTTAACCCTTGTATTTTTTTTTTAGTATTGAAATTTACTTAAACCAGATTGAGACGAGACATTTAAATTTTGTTTCACTCCTAAGATTTGGATGATAGAATATTGATTGAGGTTTAGTCTTAATTTAACATTTAATTATCTAAATTTTGGGGCGTGACACACCCACTACACAAACTATAAATATTCAAAACTTCTAAAATTATATCACATCATCTATTAATACACTAATTAATATATCAATTAATATATATAACTTTATTCTTTCCCATATATTAGTAATTTTTTTTACCTCATAAAAAAGATCACCAAAAAAAGCCCAACCTCAATCCATTCCTGAATTGAATTGGATTATTAATCACCACCTGCAGCTTACACTTAGACACTCAAATTTAAAAGTCAAGTCTACCGTGACCATGACAATTTTCCCAACAATTCTAGAAAACTCTAATTACATGTAGGTAGGCAAGTTGATGCGAAGGATTTACTCCTTACATAACTCGTTGCAGATAGTTCGGTGTTTTGAAAAGTTGGTAAAAAATTGATTTTTAAATTTTTTTAATTTATTTTGTCTTTTTGTTAATAAGTTAGGTGAGAGGTGACGTGATCTAAAATAGATAAAAAATTAAAAATTGACTTTTTCCCGGCTTCCCAAAAAAGCACAGTATATTTTGAAACACAAAACGGAGGGGCTAATCGAACAAGAAAAACAAAAAAGGAAAGCAGTATGGGTTTCGATCACTATGCATGTGATGTGAATGCAATTACCTTCTACAGTCGAATTTGCATTGCAAGATGATGTTTCGAAAATGTTGACACAGAGGTTGCAGTCAGAGGGAAGAAGTGGCCCTTCTTCACTGTTTCTCTTTCAATTTCTACATTTTACAACCACAAAAAAGGGCAACTCTGATGAGAGACAACATCCCAAAATATAAATTAAATTATTAAAAAAAAAATAGTAAAAGAAAAAGAAAAAGAAAAGGGAGAGTAGTAAGTTTTATATTTTAAATGATTTGACGCACCTGACTTGTTTTCTAGCAGCTTGGGTCAAAGATGAATTTATCATCTATGTCGACACGAGGAATGTGAGAAATGAAGCGCCAATATCGGCCTTTCCCCTTTTGACACCGTTGTTTTAGTATCGGACATCCTTTGATCTCCAACCACAAAAGCGAGGGAGGCAGCCCTTGTTCCGGAAACGATGATAATTTAGGGCAACTCTCAATCCAGAGATACCGAAGTGAGGGAGGCAGCCCTTGCTTCGGAAAGGATGCAAATTTGGGGCAACTCCTAATCTCGATATTCAAAAGCGAGGGAGGCAGCCCTTCCTTTGGCAAATGAGTGAGCTTAGGGCAACGATAGATGAAAAGTTTTTCAAGAGAGGTGAGGTCTTGAAAGTCCTTGAAAGAAAGCTTCTCTAGATTTGTAAAATGCTGGAAGGACAGGTTGGTCAGAGAGGTGGGCAATAACATTCCATCGTCTGAAATGGACTCCCAACAACGGTAATCTTTGAAACCATTAAGAAGGAGTTTTCTAAGAGAGGGTAATCTGTGCAAACCCCACTCTGATGGGGGCTTACCGATCATGATCGTGTCGATGGTGAGTGAACTGAGGTTCGTCAGGGAACTCCAGTTGGAGACAATTCCTGCAGGCCATTTCCATACTTTCAGCTCTTGAAGAGAACTGAGGTTGTACGGTAGGGCCTCGAGCTTTTTGCAGTCGTAGATAAGCAAGTCTCTCAGATTCGATGTGGCCAACCGGAACCAACCTTCCGGAAGGGACTCCATGTTTTCACAACCTCTTATGTCCACTAGGCTGAGATTTTTGAATTCATTATTGTTGCTGCTACCATGCATGGCATCGGGCAAGGATTTGAGCTTCTTACAAGCATTAATTCGAATCGATTTAAGAGATGGACAAATAATTTTCGTACCGTCCTCTGCTAGTAGTGACTCCAGCTTCGATAGATGAGCAATATCAAGTTCTTCAAGTGCAGCCGGTAGCCCACCTCCGGACGATAAGTAGAACCTTCATTTTCAAGTTTGAACCTTCATTTTCTGAAGACATTTCAGGGCATGCAGTCCCCCTGGCAGCTTCTCCAGCTTTTCACAATTTTCAATTCCCAGATACATAAGCCCCATTAAGTAAGGCGACCCCTCTTGCTCCTGCTGCTGTCGCTGCAACTGTGGACCATCTTCTTTTTCTTCTTCGAACAAGGAAATAAGTTGGGGGCAGTTTTCAATCTCCAAATGTTGCAAGGCAGGGGCAGGGGCAGGGAGTTTGTGAGGAGTTTTCTAAGAGAGGGTAATCTGTGCAAACCCCACTCTGATGGGGGCTTACCGATCATGATCGTGTCGATGGTAAGTGAACTGAGGTTCGTCAGAGAACTCCAGTTGGAGACAATTCCTTCAGGGCATTTCCATACTTTCAGCTCTTGAAGAGAACTGAGGTTGTACGGTAGGGCCTCAAGCTTTTTGCAGTCGTAGATAAGCAAGTCTCTCAGATTCGATGTGGCCAACCGGAACCAACCTTCCGGAAGGGACTCCATGTTTTCACAACCTCTTATGTCCACTAGGCTGAGATTTTTGAATGCATTATTGTTGCTGCTATCATGCATGACATCGGGCAAGGATTTGAGGTTCTTACAAGCATTAATTCGAATCGATTTAAGAGATGGACAAATAATTTTCGTACCGTCCTCTGCTAGTAGTGACTCCAGCTTCGATAGATGAGCAATATCAAGTTCTTCAAGTGCAGCCGGTAGCCCACCTCCGGACGATAAGTAGGTGAGCGATGGACAAGTTTGAACCTTCATTTTCTGAAGACACTTCAGGGCATGCAGTCCCCCTGGCAGCTTCTCCAGCTTTTCACAATTTTCAATTCCCAGATACATAAGCCTCATTAAGTAAGGCGACCCCTCTTGCTCCTGCTGCTGTCGCTGCAACTGTGGACCATCTTCTTTTTCTTCTTCGAACAAGGAAATAAGTTGGGGGCAGTTTTCAATCTCCAAATGTTGCAAGGCAGGGGCAGGGGCAGGGAGTTTGTGCTGTAGTCTGACCTCATTCTGCCACAATGTTGTGAGTTCTTCACAATTATGTATCCTCAATTCTTGGAGTCCCGTAAACCCATGAAAGAACCATCTAGGCAGGCATGTGAGTTTCTGAACATTTTCAATTCTCATATCAGTCACTGAGCTCAAATGTTTAAACGCTGCAGTTGCTAATACTTCATCGCCTACCTCTTGATTAGGAATAGAGTCCAAAATTGAAACATCACTGAGAGACAAGGAGGTGACTGAACTGAAGGGGAGGGTATTCCTCTTTTGGTGGATCATTGTAGGGCTTGGAAGCCATTCAACCACCAACTGTGGGCACTTCTGAATCTCAAGCTTTCTTAAGCAAGGAAGACTGTCGGGCAATTTACCCAAAAGCTTGGGACAACTTCGAATGGAGAGCTCTGAGAGGCGAGCAAATGCTTGAACTTCCTCATCAACTTCACAAGGAGACCAATCCTCCCATTCCGGCATATCCCAAAAGTGTAAAGTCTCTAGAGCTGGAAAAGGGTTCGAGCAACCCCCCCCAAAGAAATCAACGCCAACATTCTTTACTCTTTTCATTCCTCGAATGTAAAGTTTTGCAAGTGAGGGTAATTGCCCCAGAGGTGGTAAGCATGTGCATTTTTCACAATTTTGCAACACTAAGTGCGCCATATTAGAAAACCGAGGATCTCCAACCCAAGTTGGAAATATTGGACCATAGTAACCGTTGATGGAGAGTACTTTAACCTTATTGTCCGGTTGTAGCATGTCAAGCACTTCTAATTCAACATTTTCATTTCGTGAATCTTCTGAATTAGTGTTACTCCATTCCATCAATAACTCATCTAAGCCCTGCTTCTCATATAACTTAGCGGCCTTTGCATCCACAACATCCACCACATTATCTAACCCGGATATGCAAAGTGCCCCTCTAAGATGAATTAAGTTCCCCAACTCTCTTATCATAAACCCATTTCCTTTACTAACAATGAAGTTTGATAATGTTTGGAGACTTGTTAACTGACCTATTTTTGGTGGCATTTCTTGTAAGGAATTTGCACCAGTAACGTTGAGATGACGCAAGTTAATTAGGTTTCGTGTGGCTGTCGGCAACTTCTTCATATGTATGCAATATCTTAATTCGAGTGTTTGTAGATTGTATAGAGTACACAGTGATTCGGGTAATGAGCAAAGCAGGGCAAAAGAAAGATTAAGATACCTCAAATGCTTTAAATGTCCGATCGAACTTGGCAGTTCAACTATTTTATATCCACCAAAACTAAGCACGCGTAAACGTCTGAGCTTTGGCAACAAATCATGGGGAACATTGCTGGCCAAATAAGCTCCTCCATAATATCCTCCAGATGTCACAAGGGTACGTAAATGCTTGGCATCATAAAAGGCCTCAAACTTTTTGATGCCGTCATATTTGTCGTGCTTGTAACATGAATGGCGAGCCTTACTGAGATTTTTGTACTGCTCGTTAACTTTCGACTTATCCTCCAGCCTAACACAAATTTTTCCTGCAACAAACTCAGCCAGATCACTGATGAGGTCATGCATCAGAAATTCTGAGCTTTCACCAGTAGTTGATGGTTGAAAAAATGACCTGGACAACAATTCACGAAAGTACTCGTGCCCGAGATCTTCCATTTGCTTCTTTCCTTTTCCTTTTGGTTGTTGAATGAAGCCTTCAGCCATCCAAAATAAAACTAGAGCCATTTCAGTAAACCAGGAACCTTTGGGTATTATTGAACAGTATGCAAAACACTTCTTCAAATGTGAAGGGAGGTGATGGTAGCTTAACCTCAAAGCCGGAAGAATGTCACTTTCCTGATCTGATAACTCCCACATTTTACTGTTCAATACATCTTCCCATTCATCGTCTCTTAGTTTACAACGTAAAAGGCCACCAAGTGTCCTAGCAGCCAAAGGCAGGCCTCCACATTTCTCAACTATTTTCCTACCAATGGAAACCAAATTCGGGCTTGCCTCCATAATTGTGTTCTCAAATGCATTTTGTGCAAACACCGACCAACAATCATCCATTGATAATTGCTTCAAGTGATGATATTTCACAGTTCCTAGCATCAAGGCAACATCTGTGTTACGTGTTGTTACCATGATTATACTTCCTCGGGCTCCTTCGTTGAAAGGACTCTTCAAACTGCTCCAATCAGAGTGTTTTTTGTTCCAAAAATCATCTAAAACAATCAAGAACTTTTTCCCATCCAAAATCTGCTTTAGTTGGACTTGGACTTGACCAAAGGTATCAAAATTGCAAGGCTGGGAAGTGGTGTACTCCAAAATTGCTTTTGTCACTCGCATAATATCGAAATCTGCAGTGACACAAACCCATGCTTTTATTTCAAAGTGCTTCCCGACTATGTCATCGTTGTATACCATCTGAGCAAGGGTGGTCTTGCCAACCCCACCCATACCCACAATCGGAACTACCCCAATATTGCAATTGCTCGACTCCTCAACACCTAGTAAGAGCAACTCAATTATCTTCTTTTTATCCTCATCCCTCCCATATACACTAGGTTCATTCATCAAACATGTGGTGGGTGGTCTTTGCCAAGCTTTAGCAGATGTCCCTGCATTACTACTACTACCGACCTTTTGCAAGCCGAGCACAGTTCTACGTTCCAAAAGATCTTGGAATCGGGTAGTGATCTCATCTAATTTGACAATATTGGTTGGAAATAGTGCACGTACCTTGGTGGCGATCATCGACTTAGGTCGCAAAGCTTCGGTGGAGAACTCGTCGAGTATGTCATCGACGTCATAAGCCAAGTCCTGAAGATCTTCAAGCCAAATCTTAATACCTCCTTCGGTGACTTGCTTCTCATCAGCATCAACGAGAACTGCCTCAATTTCTTCCAAAGTTGTGCTCCATTTCGTCAACAGAGTACGAATTCGGCGCTCTCCGCCGAAGCCGCGTGCAAAGTTCGACAGCTCGCCGGCGGCTAAAGTGGCCAACTTCTCAAATAGAAACTTGATTGAAGCGGCGATTAAGAGCTCTCCGATAGCCATTGATTCCTGAATTTGTGAGAATTCAATTCTATTTGATTTGAGCTCGTAACCAAATCGATGATTGTTTCCACATAAGAAATGGAAGAGCAGTCAATGGAGAGAGAAGTCTAGATATAATATATGTAAAGTAGTTTTCATGAAGTCATGGTATGGGCGGTGGAGACACGTTTATTTCAAATGGGATAAATTACATTGACAACTCTTGAAATTTAGTCTAATTATTATTCACTTCCTCACGTTTGGTGTAATTATATTATCTTTGTGATTAATAATTTTATTTTACAAACTCTTCTACTTATATAAAAAATAACAACTCATAGTAAAAAAACAGAGAAAATTATATTAAAAAAATAAAGGAAAGGAGAAAAAAAAAAAAGAGAAAGCAAAGCAAAACAAAAAAAGAGTTTCAATATCTTCATTCCGTCTAAATAATTACAATGACAAGGGGATTAGTGTAATTTTCCAAACGCCAGGGGATGATATGTATTAAACCCAAACTTCAGGAGGTGTAAGTGTAATTTACCCTTTCAAATTTTATAACAATATTATATACAGTAGCAGGGACACAAGGTGAAACTCTATCAGTTTCTATTATTTTTAAGGACATTGCTCCTCACTAGAGAAGAGTATTGGGCATTGGTGCGACTTGATTCGGTCCATATTGATTATTTAGGCCTGGTTTGACATGTGTAAAAAAAGATAAAAAGTCAAAAAGTTATCCAAAAAGTTAAAAAATTATCATTATTCACCAAACAAATATTTAAAAAATAATTTTACACACAAAATTACAAGTCAATCTGACCGGTGATGGATCTGTCACTGCGTTTTTTAAGAAAAATTGCACAGTCGGGGTGTAATTTTAACACACTGCTGCTTGGCCCGTGAAGGCTCATCACGGATTCTGTTTTGATAATCTGAACCGTTCAATGTGTAGAACTCAT